TTGATCCAGGTACCTATCATATAAATTTGCCTATAATCTAGTTATGATTATTGTCAATAATACTTACATTTCGATAAAGATGATGCTGCCTACTTTACCTGTTATGTGATATTTATCATCACAGAGTCCAACCTTGAATCGCAGACCAGGTCCACTAACAAAACAAGGGGTTTATGGTCTTCTTCTTCTTCTTCAGGTTCGCTCACCACCCGGAATGAAGGCACGGTGCGGTTTGTAATATCAAACAGTGTTACATGCAAACGAAAAAACGAAAAAGAGATACAACCAGGATTAGTTTTTTAAAGTAATAGTTTCATCTGAATACCCGACTAACCATATCTCAGTGACATTGTACCACTCTGCACCCACACCTAAAGCTATTTTGTGATTATATGGTTACTTTGGTATTCACATGAAATGTTGTGCAAGTACCAGAGGTTCAACAACGCCCAACTATGGACAGCTCAATGTTAATACCATTTACTCTTTGAATCAGCTTACACCAACATGATAATCTACTTAGAAACATCTAAGAATGTATAGAGATAAAGTTCAAAAATACAGTTTTAACTGATGGTACTTTATAAACGTCAAACTGTTCAATATTGGACCCTGCCAACACACGGCGCCTGCACGACAATGTGGGCCGTCAGAATGGTTCATCGGTTGCGAAGTGAAGTGCTTCTTAAACTGAAGCGATACATTTCTCAATATTTCAACGTTATCCTAACGTAAACTTAATATTATCACCCATATGCCTGTCCACGCCCGAAACCCATCCACTACACAAAATCAAATAAAAATGTTTCTGTATGGCAAACACGTCCAGACATAAACGAGAATATGGGCGTATATCTTCACTGTAACAACTACGGGTAATCATCGAAAATACTTGCATTTTACTCAGGCACTTTTGAGCAAACTGCAATCACTCTCTCATACTCGTAATGTGCCTACACCACAGGCGTCGGCACTTCAGAATCAAAATACCAAAACATGAAGACCCGAGTGAAGACCAGCAACAGTGATGCATTGTATCGACGGAAGAATGTCGTATGCTGTAACCGTTGTAACCGACGGAGAAACTGTACCACAGACTGTACTGAGGAGAAACACCCACCATTTGCGACCAGTCACAGCAGTAGAAAACAAGGAGCGTTGAAGCCACGACCCGTACCAGGAGAACAGTTCGCATCCACTAAGGATGTTGCTTCAGAGATCAAATGGTTGGAAAGCAACAGCGAACAACACACGAAGTATTCTAAGTATAGTCTGGTGATATTTTCTAGATAATTCAGAGAAGCGTTCCAAACGAATTTCTGGAATAATACCATGAGAGTTTCGGAAGAATACAAAGCAAATGCTGAGGAGAACTCTACGTGAATTTTCATGAGAAATCACCGTTGAATATGGAATGAATTATTCTGAGGTATTCTGAACTACTTGAATGTCCCCAAAAATTTCTTAAAGTTACCCGCATAAACAATAACCATAAGAAGCGCCTAACCACCAATTCGGGATATCATCCCAACTTTATGTGGGATAGTCGTACCATCTATGATATCGTTAGAGTATGGTACCCGTTCATTAGGGTAATTAAACTGCCCTGAAGTGCTTTTGTAGTCTGAGAAACTGATGTGATGCTCACAATACTTTTCATACAATTTTTAAGCTTCCCTGATTTTTTTCGGACTTTCTAAAGTTTCCTCAATTTTCCTAACGATCATGGATCTTCTCTAAAGTTTTAATGATTCGCTAAAGCTCTCGAAGTTTCTTTAAAATGTATGCAATTTCTCTAATGTTAACGGAACTGTTCTGAGGTTCTCTGTTCTTTCCTGAAGTTCTCGAGACTTCAGTAAAGTTTTTGCAGTTCTTATTCAGCGTGTTGTACTGCTCTGAATTTGATTGAACTGTCCTTCCGTGAACTTCTGAACTTATGTCAAGACCTCAAAATTTTCTAAACATCTCTGAAGTTCTCTGAAAATCTGGGAACTTTTTAAAATATCCGGCCAATTTTCTGACTAAATTTTTTTTGAAATGCTCCCGCATTTTGCTAATGTTCATGAAAATTCCTGAAGCTCCCGGATTTTCCTTTAAGTTCCATAGACTTTTATCACCGACAAACCGACATGAATGACCATAGCAAAAACGATAAAATTTCTGACCAAAGCACACTACTGACATCTGGCTCCGTGTTCGCGCGAAATATTTAGCTAAGCCATCAACCCGCATGCAAAGGTTAAGGCCCAAGCGCAATGTGGGCGGAAGCGGAACGGAAACGAAAAGTTTGACAGTTGTCACAAATGACATCAAAAAGCCTAACCGAAGTCGATTTGGTTCTAACTAGTTTTCAATCCGACAAGTAGGCTTACTTAAATCGGGCTTTTCCGCTTCCGCTGTCATTGCGCTTGAGCCTTTATGAATTGGTTCGTGTCTGATCTATTCTGGACAAATTATTTTTATCTAGATAAAATAATCATATGGTTTTGACAGTTCGGGTCACTGCACATTTAAATCGGCCATTTACGATTTTCGGGCATACGTCAGAGCGAAGACATCATATCAAGAAGACTGGCAACTTTGCCAGAATCCAAGCGATAGATACAATAGCGCTGCGCTTGAGTGAAGGTGGAAGCAACGCATAGAAAAATGAGCAAATACACAAACCTTTCTTCTGATCATGTAATCACAGACAGGTAGTACCCGAGGGGGACGACTCTATCTACGATGCAGAAAATATTGTGTTTTGCTGTGGCTAGCTGCGCGTACGCTGAGTAGATAGCAAGAAGATTTATCACGATTTTGAAGATTTCCTGCAAAAAAATGATGCGCGATGCAAGTAGATGCGAGAAATGAAAGAAGATTTTTCGAAGATTTATTCGCTAGTGTGAGATTTTTTGAGCATCTAGAATCGAGATTTAGATGTTTCGCCCCTCTCGGTAGTACCATAGAGGTAACTCTAAGACTAGTAGGTCCCGAAGAAACGTGCTCAGCTTTTTGGCTCAGCTCTGGTACTATCTTCGGTCCCAAGCTAATCGATTCACCCCTCGAAACATAGGAAAATCCACTAACCCCTCATTTTATCTTTCAAACTTTCATAGCGAATCAAAACAAACATTGTGTAGTAGTAGAATTTTAACTAGAATGGGGTACGCTAATCGTTTGCTTGGGACCAATAGGCTAGTCAAGTAGTGAGCCAATTTGAAATCGTTAGTTTCGTATTGATTGTTGGTAGTACCAACAATCAATACGAAACTAACGATTTTAAATTGGCTCACCACTTTAGTAGCCTATTGGTCCCAAGCAAACGATTAACTTACCCTATTCTAGTCGAAATTCTAGTACTACGCAATGTTTGTTTTGATTCGCTATGAAAGTTTGACAGATAAAATGAGGGGTTATTGGTTTTTCCTATGTTTCGAGGGGTGATTCGACAAGCTTGGGACCGAAGATAGTACCAGAGGTGAGCCAAAAAGTTGAGCACGTTTCTTCGGGACCTACTTGTCTTAGAGTTACCTCTATGGTAGTACCATAGAGGTAACTCTAAGACCACTGGGTCCCGAAGAAAATCATTATTATTTTTGGCTCACTCAGTACCAGAACAACGGTCCCAAGCAGTCCCAAGCTATTTCACTCACCCCTGCATGTTCTGCATGAATCCACACACCCCTGATGTTATCTGTCAAACTTTCATAGCGAATCAAAACAAACATAGTGTAGTAATAGAATTTCAACTAGAATAGGGTACGTTTATCGTTTGCTTGGGACCAATAGGCTACTAAAGTGGTGAGCCAATTTAAAATCGTTAGTTTCGTATTGATTGTTGGTAGTACCAACAATCAATACGAAACTAACGATTTTAAATTGGCTCACTACTTGACTAGCCTATTGGTCTCAAGCAAACGATTAACGTACCCTATTCTAGTTGAAATTCTATTACTACACTATGTTTCATGTTTCGATCATATATTTTTCAAAATTAAAGAACCCAATTTCATTGAAGATATCTCGGTTCTGCGCTGAAATAAATCGAATTCTCGTAAACACCTTTAAACTTCCATGAAATACTCTGGACTTCTGTGAAGTTCCTGAAATATTTCTGAAGTTTTCATAATTTCTCTGAAGATCTCTGTACTTTTTTGAAATGCTCGGAACATCTTATGGTATCTCGATTTTTTTTTGCAGTACATCGTGGAACTATCCTGAATGTTTCTAATCTCACGATTATAGATCTTTAAACTGCTCCAAAAGTCTGGACTAAAGTTAAGCGAACTTCCCTGAAGATCTCTGAAATTCTGCAAAGATCTCTAGATTTACCTTTTCTGAAGCACTGCCTAAAAATGTCCACAATTTTCTTCTAGTTCTCTAGCTTTCTGTAGTTCTCTCACACCGGTGAAGTTGTCTGAAATTATAAGAACTTCTTGAAAATTCCACCAATTTTTCGGAAGCTAATAGAATTTCTTTGATATTCTTAAAGCTTACAATAAGTTGCCCATATTTCAGGACGTTAACTTCCGTTATGTTCCCGTAGTTTACGCAGCTTCACTGAAATTCTCAGCATTTCCTTTCAATCCTCATAACTTCTATAAAGTTCGTACTATTTTTTATAGACTTCATGAAAGATCTCTAATCTTTTAAAAAGATAATTACAAACCACCCAAGCCTACTAATGCAAAAAGTGCAAAATAATGCTGATTAATATAAAAATTAATGCCGTATATCAGCCTTATATTGCAAAAATCGTAAATTCAAAATTAATCCTGATTTGCTGAACGCACCCTATACTCGTTTTAATCACCTGAATCCACAGACAAAACCAAAACAAAGATGCTGTCAGTGTTCATCCGAAACGTCCAAAACTGCACGCACGCACTCACACACACCCATCCAAATCAATCTGTCAAACTCGCTCGACAAGGCTGATGCACTTTCGTTGTTCATTTCTGTGCCTTTTCTTTTTGTTCACGCTGCGTGCAAAAAATTATTCATCACCCCAGTGTCAATCTTCATTTTCATCATGGCTTTACGTTTCCAAAGTGTGTCATAGGAAAAAACACGATTTCCGCGTAATATCTGTGAAATTCGGTACGGAAAGTGATCGCAACTGCGCGGCGGTGGTTCCGGACATCCGCACGAGATGGATTTCGGCAAATTGCTGAGCGTGGCTCAGCGCAATGCCTCCAATTCGGAGCAGAAAAATTCCGAGGTATGTAGACGGGCGCGAGCTGCTCTGTTCGCTAGTCGAATCTCTCGACTGTTCCAAAAGGAAACCTACACGGTCATGTTGGATGGGTGGAAAGGGATGGGGGCGGTGGGAGGTTTGAGTTCACAGATGGCTGGGGCTAGTAGAAGGGAAAGAGGAGTACAACTTCTCCCTTCTGCATACACCGAAGTCTGCTGGGGATGATCAAATCTGGTCGATCGGTAATGCTCGGGGGAAGGTCACGAGAAATTCAAATAGATCTGGTTTGGCTGCAAAACGAAACAGTGTTTGCTCTGTTTGATAAAAGATCATTGCTACGTAGTCAGTTTATCGTACAGGAATTTTCCAATAGATGACAAACTGTCGCACTAAAGCATTGTGTGTATAGACACTAGTGCGTGTCTTCGTTGTTGTTTTAATACAAAGTACGAGTGTAATATGTATTAACGACTGAATGAAGTCATTGTCAGAAACATGGGGCTGATGCCTCCCACTCTCCTTGCTCTCTTGATACTTATTGTTTGTATCGTTCCAGCTGTTACGATCCAAACATCCAGCCATTGATAAAGATTTTATTGATTTTAGCAGCAATTTTATTGCACTGGTTGTGATTTGGTTATTCGTATGAGTAATTTTCCATATCTTGAACCTATGTTGAAGAAAGCTTAGGATGTGGATTACTTAACATATGCCTCTAAGACAGGGTTGTTAATGACGATAACGCCATTAACTATACCCTGCTCTGAAAGCATCTTGCGACTTGCCTGTGATCTTTTGAACAAGCTTAGGAAAATTTTGATACTTGATTTCAATGATGGTCGTCTGTGTTCTACGTGCTTCTGAAAAACCATTGACAAAGTCCAACTCAAGCACGTAGATTTGCTCGGCGGTTATCAAATTGTGAGTCTTCGATCGTATCTGTTTGATTGCAAAACTCTTCGGTACGCTAGTATTTGTTCTATTCGTCAACGATCTTCCTTCTACCTCAAATCGGACGAACATATGTAGGTACGCTGAAGATCATCCAGAGCTATAAGATTATACCTGGAGGGCAATTTAAAAAAAATACAAACAAACTCGTAGGTAGAGAACCTTTGGAGCAAGTTTAACGGTCAACACATATTAGAATGTTCCACTCCAGTCTAAGGTAGGTCAATAGAATTTTTGGAGTAAGTTTAATCAGAATCCAGGGCAGATCTAACCCGTACATACAGAGGGATTTTAGGGTAAACTCAAAGTACCTCAAAAGCAAGTCAAACAACTCCTGCGACAAGCTCATCGACTATCCAGGGATAGCCATACCCTCTTGGCGGGAAGAGTAAGTAAAGCGCAAGTCTAGAGAACCTTCAAAAACTTCCCAGAGCACAGCCAGGGAATCTACAGAGTAAGTCCAGGGTAGGTTTTGATCAAATCTCAAACGCAAAGCTCAAGAGGCTATCAACGAATCTTCCGGACAAATTTAAAATACTTCCAGATCAAATCCGGAGTTCAGTGTATACTATCTCCAGGAAAGTCCAAGAATCTCCTGGATAAGTCATATGTTGGTTCCTGTAAGGGTTTTGTATGTTTCGTAACTAATAGTAATCCACGCCAACTGACGAATCGATTTTATTTTGCCCTCTCCGAACTCCATGAAATTCACAAAGTCATTCGATAAAGGAAGTGTCCTCTTTCAGATGCTGGTGTTAGATTGCGACGATGTGTTTTGATGCTCGAGAAATTTACGTTAAAAGCCATTGTTTACGTTTGGCTGTTCCGCCTTTGATAGATTCGAGGGCAAATAGCAAAACAAAACGTAAATTTTTGACTCAACCTTCGCCGATTTGCATGAAACTTTGGATAGTTGTTTATTGTGGGCAATCATTCACATTTAGCCATTTAGAATCTTGCATTTTTTCATTCAAAATGGCGTATTTGACATTTTTCAATAAATCGTTGCACAAAACAGTCACGGAAAAATATACCCAGTAAATTATGTTTAGTAATTTTGAAAAAAAATCTAATAAAGTGTTTAAATTTTAAATAACAAAAATGTCCTTGTTCAATATTTAAGATTAAAAAAAAGGTTACGAACAATGCAAACTTTTGAAATATTCAAAACCTTGGGCTAGGGAGTAAATCATTCGGCTACATCTTGCTAACACCCACAGAAACACACTTCAAACACCCTTCCGCCGCATGCTAAGCAAATTGTTTCATCAATTCTGGCACCACTGAAAATAATGTTTACATTCGATTTTTATTTTGTTGTTGCGAAAAAAAACGAACTGGAAACTGTCGTCGCCGGGGAAGAAAAACATTCTAGATCTGGATTGAAAACCTCCAATTCGAAGAGAAGGAAATACGAAACCGGTTGGGATGTCTTGGAAGAAAACCAAGACAAACGCAACGGAACAGTTTCTGATTGTACACTGATAGGCACAATGGGTAAGTCACTCAGCACATTGTGCCGGAATTAGATTCGACACAATCTTGTTGGCATTGGATTGTTGTAAATAAAATGGGAGCACTGTTCGACAACTGTCATTGAAGTTGTTCACAACATTTCGTGCTGTTTGACTGTATATCAAACAACATCTGGAACATCCTCTAATTGAATATTCCAGAGGAACTCAGACCAGCTGTTCACTTATAGATTTAAATTCGAAATGTAGGTTCTAGAGTGGGTTCAAGATTAAGAGGCAGTTAATCAGCGTTGACGTTGTTATGATATACTTTGTGCGACACTCACGACTCTTGAAATTCTGAGTTTGACTACTTTCAGGAATAATGCTGCATTGATTCTAATCTAAATAAGAATACCAGAAGCATGACTGTCGCTATTCCCGGCCACGCCCATCTTTACCATAACTAGGGATAGGGAAGGAGATGTTGATGTAGTACTTACTTAACGAGAGGCCACCGACTTAGCGACACTCTCATATGTGCTACGGAGTTGGAGGGTTGGGTAGGGTATTCGGTTAGGATTCGCCTCAAGTTGGCCATGCAACCAAACGCAAATATTGTTTATGTATTGCTCATTGAATCTCTCGATAGCCGACTATCGAAAGAAAATATTCATTTTGTTTAGTGATCATGCATTTTAAGAGTCATGATGGAGAGCTTGGCATTAAAACCATGATTTTCTGCTCAGTAAGCAAAAATGATCCCTCCAGGGTCATCGGGCATCTCACAATCCACAGCGCGTCGTACGATTAAGTTCTCTTTTAGTATGTAACGAACGATTAAGATACGCGATAATTCTTGTATTTTCTACGGTTGATGGTTAATTCAAAATATATGAATTGTACTGCCAACGACGACGAAAATAGCGAATTTGGAGCTTACTTTTTGCCTAGGATAAAAACACCTTGGCATCTCCATTGGTTCTTCAATTCTTGTTCTTTGTTTTGCGGTGAAAGTTCTTGCCGTAAAATCAGTTCGTAATATTTCTCTGTTGGGTTCTGTTCTCCATGGTGGACGCTCGGGTTGGCGAAGTATTTCCTCTAATATTGTCAACACTGATTCCGCCATCACTGCCAGTCAGATTACTGTGATCCCTCTGCCCGATTGTCAAGTCCCGTCCCAGATTGCAGCTTGCTCTACGATCAGCACAATCGGCACACTGACAAAAAAGATGACCCAAGACTGGTGTGCGGAGCGGCTCCAGAAGAGATAAATTAAAGTAAAAGAAAAGCATTTTAATACTTAATGTGTCCTCCTTTGACCTTCAGGACCTGCTCTCCACCAGGTTCTTTAGGTGCTGTGGATCTAGCGCTCCCCAGGCGCCATGCAGGGCTTCATAATAGTTATTTTTATTGGTAGCGCCAGTTTTGTCAACCCTGGAATCGAGAATCGCCCACAAATTCTCGATGGGGTTGAGGTCCGGGCTTTGTGGAGGTCATTCCAGCGATTTGATCCGACAAGACCGGAAGAAAGACTTGGTCTTCTTGGCAGTATGCTTCGGGTCGTTGTCCTGCTAAAATACGAACTTCTCTTCAAGGTCCGTCTGAATCAGCGAAACCTCCAGATTTGGTCCTACAGGATGTTGATATAGGAATCTGCCGTCATTATCCCGTCGATTTTCACAAGGCATTCCACCCCACAAAAACACCCCCAGAACATCACATTTCCACCTCCATGCTTCACCGAGCCTTGGATGTGGAGCTCCTGAAGCTCCTCACCCGATTTGCGCAGCACACGAACCAGCCGGTTTCGGTTAAACAGCTCGAATTTTAATCCGTCCGTCCAGAAAACCGTTTTCAAGAACGCTAGGGGCTTATCAGCATGCTCCTTAGTAAAACTTAAGCCGTTTGCCTTATTTGCCTTGCTGATAAATGGGCGCTTCCGGGCAAGTTTGCTATTCAACCCCTGTTCTACGATGACGCGACGAACAGTTCGACAGGAAACTGATAGCTGGAGGGTTTCCTGGATACTCACAAGACGCGTCGCGAGACAAGACACAACACATATCGTTCTTTACCTTTCTGTCGACCGGCTTCGGGCGTGATGTTGTCCATCTACGGGACAATGTCCGACTGATTACTCAGGATGTTCATACGTTGTTCCGTACACGTCCAATAAGAAGAGAAGAGAAGCTACTGGATTCTCAGATTTGTCAGCTTGAAAAGGCAGGATATATTGGGGGCGATGATGATTCCCATGCGTTTAGATGGGAAGCTTTTCTGACGGTTTTGACGAGTTTTGCACCTTTCCAGTCAACGTTATGGTCTAAGCTAATTGTGTGTACCGCAACATTGCTCTAGAAGGTGTAATGCGACGAGCCGGGCTCACCAGCCGGGGTACGATTTTCACGAAATCCGGTCAATTTGTATGCTTTGCGGCCGACATGGACATTATCGCAAGAACATTTGGAACGGTGGCAGAACTATACACCCGCCTGAAACACGAAGCAGCAAAGGTCGGACTGGTGGTGAGTGCGCCAAAAACAAAGTACATGCTAGTAGGCGGAACCGAACATGACAGGATTCGTCTAGGAAGTAATGTCACGATAGACGGGGATA